AACTTTGAAAGAAGCAATATATACATTTTACAGTGGACCTTCGTTTTTGACCAGGGCTGAGGCAAGATTCCTAAAACTGATAGGTGGTGATTTATCGGGGATGTCCACTGTCCCTGAAGTTATTGTGGCAAGGCATTGTGGAATTAGAGTGTTGGGTTTGAGTTTAGTGACTTGTGCAGAAGCTATTGGGAAAGGTAAATGCGCGGATCCGGCGGAACAAAATTTGGATGATATAAAGGTGCCACAAGTGAATCACGAAGAGGTGTTTCAGGTTGGAAAAGAAAGAGCCGCGGATATGCAAAAATTGGTTGGAACTATTGTGGACTTAATTGCATCTACCTGATAAGGCATTTGGTGTCCTATAAATTCGTTTTAATAACTATTTTATTGCTTATAAAAGGTTATATACTTAATTCTTTAAATTAAAAAATACTAGTAATTGACCTGGAAATCTCTAGTACAATGTTTTGCATCTTAAATTATTATACAATGTATTTGGTTTGGTAATTTGTATCTAGCTGTCAGCATTATATATATATTTTTTGGTTTTGCAATTAAAATGGAAAAATGCAACAGCTTATAACTATATAGCTAGTAATTTTCTTAAAGATATTAATATATAGCATATTTATAAAATAATTATAAATTTGTTTGGTCATATGCAGTGTATAAAATCTGAAAAAAATTATTTGTGCGCGTGTGCACATAAAAAAATTTTTGTGCACAATAGTGCGCATTAAATTTCAAAATTTGTGCATACAAAAAAAAAAATGTGCACATGTCTGTATGTATTATAATGATTTCTACACGTCCTTCTAATTTCGCTTCCGACAGGACTATTTTACTATATACTATGGAAAAATGTATATTTTAATCTTCGAATAGTATATTGATTTGTCATAAGAGTTTATATTCATTAATTTACCAAAAGAATAAATTTCAATAATTTAAATTCAACGAAATTTGAACTATTCACTTATAAAGGTTGAACAAACCAAATGGGTGATAATTGCTGAATTGAAATTAATTCAACTATTTCTATAATATATAGATGGTATAGATGAAGTGGTTAGGCAGATCTAAAGAATCTAATCTTTCATGAGGTATAATAGAGTTATAGATTATTATTCACAGACATATCTTCAACCACATTTTTGATCCGCAATAAAAACTGATTAATGTTAAAAAATATTGATTCAAACCTTACAGTATATTGAATTAAAAAATGATAAGTGATATAAAGAAATTGAAGCATGCGGCGAGTCTTCCAAGAAAATGAAATGGACTAAATAAAATTATATTTTATTGCT